TGGACCTACAGATTTGTTTTTGCTGGGATATGAAAGATTAGAATTATACCTGAAATTGAATATTTTATTCTTTATTTGTCTGATATAACCCATTTAATTGTGATAATTCTTTAGGTCGTTAAAGTGTTTCTTACTTGTTATAGCTACAATATAGTTTTCTAATCATATGTAATAATATTTCGATTTTATTTTAAAAGACAGTAATGTTTACACTTTACAATACAATGTTTTCAAGGAAGGAAAAGGTTAATACTTTGTGCTACGCAGATAAAGTAAAAAACAACATGAATAAAGCACAAATAAAACTACGTAAATTGTAATATAGTTTCCCTTCAATAAACAAGAACCTTCGTTGGTGTCTAAACATCAAATAAGGGTAGAAAAGTGTGAAGGTAAACACGATATTTTACACTATTACAATATTTTGTACACGATTACAGTAGTTCTCTAACGAAAATGAGCTCTTTAAATACAGGGTGTCCCAAAACGATCGTACATACTTTGTTTTTCTTATTTTTCTCGTGAACTATGGATCGTACAGGAACGCTTCTTTGGGCAGTTTTTATGTACTCCCAACGAGGAATCTAGCTGTGAAGAGTTTATGCGGTCGTTTTGGGACACCCTGTATATTAATCAATGCAATCAGTTTATGCGTCTTTTTCCTTGCTTAAGATTTATGCGTTTCATTGTATTCGTTTTTGTGAATTTTGTGAATAATGTAAAGAAATATCTGCTATATTTTATTTTTACTTTTTCTACTCCTTAGTATTAAAACTTGAAAGATCCAGAAATAACATGTTCAATAAGAAAACGAAAAATTACGTGTCGGACTCGAGTTTAAAAATAAATTACAATTTATAATTAATTAATTTCCAAATCTACATAAGCCTTTTAAATTATGATATTTGTAGCTTAAATAATGAAAATCCAGTATTTACATCAAAAGTGTTCTGAGTTATATTGTTTTTCATATAAACGAATGTAGGTTTTGTGCTCCTTAAAATGCTATTGAACTAAGAGATTTAATATAATTTATGCTTCTGGCGCTTCAATCTTTAATGTTCTCTAAAGCCCCTGTCTGCTTTAATAAACACAAGGATAACTAAAAAAATATTTTTACTAACTAACAAATGGAATAATTCAAACTTCATTTATCCACGTTTCTTTTAAAAGATTTTTTGATTGTTCAATTAACTGAAATGTTCTGATATTTACTGTATATTTATATAAAAAAAAGCATTGAGAATACTCTCTACCAAAGAGTTTTTAAGAAAAGGAAATTGAAACACTTTAAAATCAATTTTAAGTGAAGCAGGATATAAACGCTTGTTATTATGGGCAAATGAATAGTACAATTGAATTTTAGTGTAAAAGGAAGATTTATAATTTTTGCCTTGCACGCAAAACATGAAATTTACGCATATATTTAACAAAACTTATTTTGTAACCAAATATATATACATAAAATTGCCTTTATTCATAGTTTTATAAATTTAAAAAAAAGTCAGAATTATAATTTTTGACAATCCACCTTAAAACTCCCTTAAAAGTTTTCTATGTTAAAATAGCTTAGATAATATATTCTTTTTGTCGTTTGAATAACAGTTATTTGTTTCCATTCTTCCGTAACGTCCCTAGAATTGTTAAAAGGCGCCATTTCTGTTTATTTTCTTTTAACTATGGTAGATAAAGGAAATGCTAAATCGAAAAACGGATTAAGTAAAATTTAAGAAAATTTGGGAACATCAATTTAAGAATACTGTAAAGAAACTCAGGCTAACAAATTGATGTTTTTCATAAACAAATCCCATACTTGGTACAATAAATTCAGAAATACCAAGCGATTATTATGTGTTTTTAATATATAAGTTTCTGTTCTTAAATTATTACATAACCATTCCACAAAATGTTTCATTCACGAAACAGTGAAGAAATTATGAAATTGTATAATGAATTGCATGAAATTTTACTTCAACTTTTTTCAACTATTTAATTCAACTCTTTTAAATTGTGCATTACATGTAATATTAAATCAAACTTTATAACAACATAATAGAAATTCTTGTCCAATACTGAACAATTTTCCACGAAGAGAATTTTGAAATAGAAACATATTTATTGCAAATTCCCGAATGAAACATTTTATGAGAATATGTTTAACACACTTACATTATAAATACGCATATTAATGAATTGAAATTGACACACAAGACGAATCATGATCCTTGGAACTTTTGCCTCCGTTTTTTTTAATTTGCCACCACTTTTTTCTAATTTGAAAAGATATAGCAGTAAAATAAAATTGTACATAACTAAATTATAAAACATGGCAGAATAAGATACATAAAATATTTTATCCAATGCATTTTTTTGATATTTAAGAATAAAGAAAATAATTTGATATTTGACTTGTGAAAAAAGAAAATTAATATTAAAAAATATAAATATAATTATTTTTAAAATTAAAAAATGAAAGATTTTAGCTTCATTTTAACTTCATGAAGCCAACAAAAGTTTTTTAATTAAAAATAATGTTAGAAATAAATTAGTAATATTAAAAAAAATAGTCTCATCAAAATAGCATACGAAATTGATAGTAATAAACATTTTGTTTCGAATTAGAAACTATAAAAGCACTAATTATTCCAATTTAAGATATTTTAAGTAATTTAAAAATTTATAATCATCTAACAAACTCTTTTACTATTAAACTAAGTTTTCTTCAAATTGCTTGAAACTTGCTAATCATTCAACGTTAAGAAATACTGTACAATTTTCATAAACGGAACTCCAAACCCCTTGAAATTTCATAATTTGCAAGATTTTAGATTTAGAATACGTGAAAAATAACAGTGGTTCAGTTTAAGCGTAAATGCATACTATTAAATAAAGTTTAAAAAAATTATACTGTCTATAATTAAGGTTTGAGAAAACATTACGTATACAGCTACTTTTAAGTCAAGAAAATAGAACTGATCGCATGGATTATTTCATAAATTATTGGATAGATTATCGAGAAAGAGCGGCGAAATATGCAACCCCTTCAGCTCGTCGGCGGAGATTTCAATCTTCCCTTCTGTGAGAAACGGCGCTTTGGCGAGAGTTCTTGGCGACGCCCCGGCCTCCCGTAACTGTGCAGGGGCGCCCACTCTCCCAGACTCAGGAAAGCGATGCTTCAATGAAGACATGGCGTCTGTGGCCGCCTGGCTGCCTTTCGCCAGGGCAGCGGCCATAGGCTGGGTGCCCATCGCGAACAAGCCCTTACCCGCGCCGCCCGTTACCAAAGAACAACGGAAAAGAGAAGATGAAAAATTTGTTATCAATGTGAGTGGACGGCGATTTGAAACTTGGCGGAATACCGTCGAAAAGTACCCGGACACACTACTCGGTTCTAACGAACGCGAGTTTTTCTACGACGAGGACTGCAAGGAATACTTCTTCGACAGGGACCCGGATATCTTCCGGCACATCCTCAACTATTACAGGACTGGCAAGCTACACTACCCTAAGCATGAATGCCTAATGTCGTACGATGAGGAACTCGCCTTCTTCGGCATCATACCGGACGTGATCGGAGATTGCTGCTACGAGGACTACCGTGACAGGAAAAGGGAGAACGCGGAAAGGCTAATGGACGACCGGCTGTCCGAAGCCAACGAGGCAGATAACATGCCACACGCCAATATCCGAGAGCGCATGTGGAGAGCGTTTGAAAACCCTCACACAAGCACTGCGGCACTGGTCTTTTACTACGTGACTGGTTTCTTTATTGCTGTCTCGGTGTTCGCGAACGTATGCGAGACCCTCCCCTGCAGCATGAACGAAGCGACCGGCGACACGATGTCGTGCGGCGAGACGTACAAGGCGGCCTTCTTCTGTTTGGACACGGCCTGCGTCATGATCTTCACTGCCGAGTACCTCCTGCGGCTATACGCCGCTCCCGATCGTTGCCTATATATGCGAAGCGTCATGAGTGTCATCGACGTGGTGGCGATCATGCCATATTACATAGGACTCGGCATAAAGGACAACGACGACGTTTCAGGGGCCTTTGTCACCCTCCGCGTCTTCCGGGTCTTCCGGATCTTTAAGTTTTCGAGGCATTCTCAGGGACTACGTATCCTGGGATATACGCTCAAGAGTTGCGCCTCAGAGCTAGGCTTCCTTGTTTTTTCCCTGGCCATGGCCATCATCATCTTTGCCACCGTCATGTTCTACGCGGAGAAAAACGTCGAGAATACCACCTTTACCTCCATCCCGTCGGCCTTTTGGTACACAATTGTGACCATGACAACCTTAGGGTAAGTACTACACTTTATTAATATACTGAAATCCCTATAAGTACAGTCTGACCTACTGTCTCATCACATCTGGATAACTTAAAGGGTAGACTTCCTTCGGTAAAGAAGAGTTGTTCAGGCTCTGCTTACAACAGTTTTAAGTTCTACATATATTTTTATAAGTTATAAAGGATGAAAATGCTATTTCATATATAACTACGCTTTATAAAAGAACGATAGATCAGACACTTTATTCATGTACATTCCTTTAAGTAAAGTCGAACCAGCTGACTCATCACATCTGGAAATCTTCGAGAACAAATACCTGAATCGGTAAAAAAAAACAGTTGGTCAGGCTCTACTTACAAGAGCTTTAAGTATTACATATATTTATGTAAGATTTTAAAAAAATAATATTTATAAGTAAAAAGGTATTCATAGGTTGTAAAAAGAGAAAGAAAACGCAAGTGTTTGTTATTCTATATGTAACTACGGTGTGTAAAAAGACAACAGATCGAAACGGTGGATTTCCCGCTACATGACCTGATTTTATTTAAAATGTGTTGGATTTCAGCTTAAAAATCAATAACTTCTTGCTGATAGCTTGCAAATAGTTGTGAAATTATAACAGTAATAATGTAAAATGGTCCTACGTTTCGGTGTTCATGGGATTTTTCCAAATTTAATATTTAAACATTTATAATTATAAAATTTCTTCGACAGGGAGGTTCTACTGTATATATTACATTCTTCCTCTAAAAACTCGTCTTATTATAAAAGGAGTTTACTTTTTTATCTTTTTTTTATTGGACTTCTTATTAAAAAACTTATAATACTATAAATTTTTAACTCGAAATAACAAGAAATAAAAGTTGTAAGTTACATGAAAAACGTGACATGAAAGCGCATATGAGAAGTGTAAAGCAATCTTTATTAAAAATCCTTTTTTAACATTTAAGCTTTATTTTCGAAAGTTGAGAAACTCAAGTTGAGCTTTAAGCTGTTAGTTCGTTTTTATTTTTTAAACTTAAAACTAGCCTTAAAAATAAAAAATATTTAGAGATAGGAGCAAATAAGATGTCACTTATTAATAAGTCTAATATTCTAATTTATTTTTCAAAATTGTCTTGAATACTTAGTAAAATAAAATTTTATAGTTATTTTTTAAAATTATGATTCGTTTTATTATTACACTAATTGTATTAATTAAAAAAAATAATTTAATTTTTGAAAGGTTTTAAGATTTGAAAAAGTTTTATTACTATTTTCATATTTGAAGTTTAAAATTCGGCAACCATGCTCTAGGAAACGTATTTAAGTTAATCAAATTAAATTGAAATCATTCAAAAATTTTAATTAGTTCTTTAACAAAAGGCTTCAGGACCTATAATTCTCCTTAGGTTAAAACGCATGAAGTAAAATAACTTTTTATGTCTGAAAGGGACCTTTAATGTCTTATGTAAATTTCAACTAATGTCATTAATAGCCATCTATATTATTCGTTTATTTATCAATGGGACTATTATTTATCTCTCGTTACCATTTAAAATTTAATCTAGGAAATATAACAGATACATTGAAATGTTAGAATATTTATACTTTGAAGTAAAAAGCACCCATATAAAATCAATTAATGCATCTTTGATTTATTCTGAATTCATCATATAAACGGACATCGACAATGTGTTTGCCTTATTTTTTTGACCCAGGTGAAATATGTTTTAAAGCTATATTTGTATCGAAATAAATTTGGTGAATTATTTATCAATATTGTAAAAAATTAATATAATATTCAGTTTTGAAACAAAAATTATTATATTAGAGATTATTACAATCAATATTCGTGAAGGAAATAAGCAGTAACAAATTTTTTTTTTAAAAATATAGCAAAAAACGTTTTCTTTTTAACTATATAAGCTTGAGTTGACTAAAAATATTTATTGCAATATTATTTGATATACAAAAAATATGAAATTAATATGTATATTTTATACATGTTGCAATGAGAGAACTGCAGATCATTGTCTTTGGGTAGGAATAGGCTATTATTGTTATTAAATTATTAATAATTTTTTATTAAACTATTTCAATAAGTTTGAGATACGCAAAACGGATGAAACAAACTAGTCACCGCTATTACAAGTTAGAAATTAAACTTTTACTACACGTTCAAGCTTTTGAACTGGAAGGCAATCATTATTCTCAGTGATTTAGCGTTTTAAAACATGACAGACATTATTATTTAAAATGCTTATTTAAAATGCTTCACTTACGCTATTTACCTTCACTTGTGTTAAATATGTATACTATTATTGTACTCTATTAACAGAATAAAGTTTAAGCATTTATAAACAAACAAATTTAGTAACAGAATCAGTGATGCAATATATTTTCTTTCAATTTTTAAGAACCGTTTCCAGATAAATAACAAAACGTGTTATAAATACAGGGTTGTTAATGGGGCAAAATTAGTTATTATTTGAAAATTTCTCTCAATATGAAATAATAAATTAATCTCTGTTCACACAAATCAGTATTTCTTTATCTAAGAGAATTTCAATTAAGCACGAATTAGACAGAATTAGACTTCATATTTAGCTACTCAAAGAAAATTAGGATACTTTTTTTATAGGACGCCATTCTTGTAATATTTGACGTTGGTATAGTATTAAATACTCGCATAAAACATGCATATTATATGGTTGAATTACATATAATGTATAGAATATGTAAAATACATTGATGCAATACAGATATAAGCTACACTAAAAAAGCCAAAAAAGGTATTTTTACATAAAACGTTTCCTTTGTATTGTTTCGAGATAGCTACTTTACAAGTTTCCAGAGCTTCACTTCGATAACATCACAAAGCAAAAAAAATATTTATTGTTGCATACAAGAAAATCGTAGTGCTTTTCGCCAACTACGCTCACAGATCAATATGAAATTGTGGCTTATTATGTTGACTCAAGCACTTCATTTATAGAACTGTTTATAAAAAAGTGCAATTATTTGTTAGAAGATAAGAAATAGCGAACATAATTAATACTGTTGTCTTTGTTTTCAAATACAAGAAAGGTAAAGTGAATAAAAATCTAACTGTAATCTCCTTTAAAGATATGAATGCAGCATTTTTCTACGTAGTAAAAATTTTTTTCTTTATCTAAAAAACCCAAAATGGTTGTTTACTACTTTACATCAAGTGCTGTTCTAAAACACCAGATTTAAATGAGCAGATTTAAATGAACACCGATTTAAATGAAATTCTTGCTTTCACAATTATAGCTCTTATCACCATGCATTTAATTAAAAATGCAAAACTGAAAAGTAAATTTTACCAATTAAATAATGTTTATTCAATATTATCCATGGTACCATGAAAAAAATACCGAATTTTACAACTTTTGCCTAATTTTATTACATATTATAAAACCGTATTTTATTGTTAATTTTACCAAAGCACTTCGGTAATTGTTACCGATCTTCCTGGTGATTCCATAGAACCAGAAAACACGGTAAATTTTATGAAATTCTGGTAGTTTTAACCATACCTTTTTTTCTTGTTGTAGAATGACTCATTCTGGCTAAGTATAATCTCAAACTCAATTATGTGATATAAATTTTATATAATTTTAAATACAATTTTTAAGTTAAGGGACAAAATAATAAAACAATAATAAGTAATTTTCTAAAAAAATCTGTGTCAAATTGTTTTTACATTGAAATAGCTTTACTAGTCAGTAAGTGCTAATCCAAAATTTAATAAATTTCTTTTTCACAATAGTTCTTTAAAAACGAAAAGCTTTCATTCTACTAAAGAGAATAAGCTTTTAGTTTTGAATTATTTTATCTTTCAGGGCTGTTAAGCAACTCTTAGTCAAGCGTTATTTAATCTCTTAAAAGCCATTTATGTACCTAGTAATAAAAACTAGCTTTTTGGAACTATGATCATAAATATTTTTATGGAAAGAGAGGAACTAGATTCAACTACAACGCTTAAAATCATTATAAAAAAAAATTAAAATAAGAAAATGTGTAAAATTTTTAAACTGTTTCATATTTTGAAAGCGCATTTAAAACATCTTACAATAATTATCAACCTGTTTAAATGAGTTTTTATACCTCTTCAAAAAACCGATTAGTTTTAATTATTATTTTATAGAATGATAATATTGTGAAAGATATTATGACGTAATTATTGTTCGATAGAAATGAATGGTAACTTGAATATTGATACTGCGTTCGTAAAATCCATTCTTCGACAAAAATCATTTTTAGCGATAAATTTTATACTGTAATTACAACGTTAATATTCATTTAAATATAGTTATTCAGAATTTACAGTAAATATTATTGAAAAAAAATATGGTATAATCAATCTTTATTTCTGTGAAATGTTACAATAAAATTTTAAGTTGAAAGTACGAATTTTAAGTCAAAAGTACTGTTACCCTGACAGCTGGGACTTTATACTGCAATTTGATTCAAAGTCTTTTTTTATAGTAAAAAGACTAGCAATGTTAACGATTGAAATATTTCTGTAAGTCACCAAATTAAACATCTTTGCAAATTTTAGCAAATTAGCAAAATTGCCCCCCCCACTTTCATTTGCAATTGCCTGACTACACAATTGATTATTCAATGGTAAATAAAGAAACAAAGTTTTAATGGTGGAAAAATAAGTACTTACTTTCTTTTTAATTGATAATTAATCTACTCTTATTCATCTTTTTAATGATAAAATCCCTTATCTTGTAGATGAATATGCTCATGACATAGTGTAAGAGTTATTTTTAACTTGCTTTTTAACTAGCCTGCTTAAACAGATAAATGACTCTATGAGGCTAATGTACGATCACACTGGAGAAAATTACAGTAAAATTTTTCAGAAGAAAAAATCTAATACATCACATTTTTTTCAGTAATATTTACAGTAAACCTAAATACAATATCATTGATCACTGTAATTAAATAATTATTACTATGAAAATCACGGTATACAGTTTTACGATAAAAACGTA